CTTCTACTGCTACTATTACTATTACTATTACTATTACTATTACTATTACTATTGCTTGCTATTTATAGTACTGGTTACTGACACGTATTTCTCTTACTGAGGTGAACTTCTCTAATAGACTGTCCACACTCGGACTGAGTCGAGCTAAACCCGACCCCTGTAATGTCGTTAGACATGATGCAAAACCTAGACCCTGAATTTCTGGCCCGACAAAGGGACCATGAAGGCTTAGAGTTTGTGACTGCGAGGTCCATCAGCGCCTGCGAGATTCTCGGTTGAATACAGGCTAGCATCGTGTGGCATCCGATCAACATCGGAAACTGTCCTAATTCCTGAGCCGTCATAACCTACAGACTACCGGAGCGCAACCTCAACCCCCAACCCCAGCCCGCTAAGCCAGCATTGCTACATCGTAGAGCCTCAACCTCCAGACGCAAAACTCCCCAAATCCGACACCTATACACGAGCAGCAGCCCTTCTAGTAACCCAAAGCCCTTAACCTATAAAGGCCTGCAACACCCCACAATCTATAAACTTATAAACACACCTTGAAGAGCAGTGAAAAACCCGATGAACAAAGCAGAAAAGCGAACCTGTAAGAACCCTCACAGCCCCCGTACAAGCCCTATAGAAGCCTTGTAGAAGCCTCGATAAACCCCAGAGAAGCCATAAGGGTAGTTCTCTAAATTAGGGTCCCTTCTGAGGTCCCCAATATAGTACGGCACCCTGATACAAAGGGAACTAAAAGGGACAGTAGTTTAGAAAACTATCCATAAAGTACCCTTATAGAAACCCTAGAGAAACCCTTATAGATCCCTAAACCCTAAACCCTTTCAGGAACCCTAAAAAGAAAACTACCCACAAGCTCTCTTAGGAAAGGCTTGGCGTGGAAGCAGGCCTTGGTGCTGCTGAACACCGCGAGGTTTCGCGCGGTTTCTGTTGGGGTTGGGGTTTGGGGCTTTAGGGATTTAGGGAATGGGAGGGTTTAGGGTTATAGGGGTTGGGGGCCAGATTTCGAGTGCCTTGACTATTGCTCCCGTTTGGGCTGCTTCTGCGCGTACCCTGCGGTCCTCTGCATCCGGCTTGAGCAGGGCTTGAGTGACAGTTGCGGCTCTTTTTCGTGCTTCCTTTCTTGTTTGAACCACCTCGGGAGTCTTTGGCTTTGAGTAGGATCGATGGCACTGCAGACGTTGCGAGCTACATTGCTGCATTGGGCGCCGCTGAGAAGGCGGCTGGGGCTCAGGTTTTTGGCCGCTGGGGGTTGAAATCTGGCACTGGAGGGTTCGAGGCATTGCTTGCTCAAGCTGCATCTCTCCAGAGACACCTGCCTGAATCCTTCGCGCACGCGCAGAAGATATTTTGTTGCGCTCATACCTGCTTACATACTATGTATGCGCATGTATATCTCATCATTATATGTATACATGCAGCATTACATTTCCATATACATATGTGACTATTTACATGCACCTGTATACAGGTAACTTATTCTCGGCGAGCGGAATGTGTGCATCTGTCTCATCCCTCGACAGAGCGGCCTTTGATCCTCTTCATCCGTGGCCATGTTGGCTGAGGGGATCGCCAGCTAGAATCGCATAGGTGTATGTGTATGTTTATTTATTTGCGGTAAAATATCTCTGTTTCTGTACATGAACCAGGAAACGCCGAGAGGGCACCACACCTGTTTACAAAGCTTCTGTGCACGCCAGGCTCAGCGGTGGCCTCATGCCCTCTGCGTGCTCCAACAGATGAGGCAGCGCCGGAAAGTGTGTGCAAACGTATATTATATAAATAAATATATATGTATATATATATACATATATATATATATATCTGTATGTATATATGTATGTATGCATGCATGCATGCATGCATGCATGCATGCATGCATGCAGGGAGGTAGGTACGTATGTATGTATGTATGTATGTACGTACGTATGTATGTATGTATGTATGTATGCACATGCATGCATGCATGCATGCATACATACACAGCAACATGCTTGACGATAGACTATGCTAGGCCCCGCAACTTTGCGACACCACAAACACAATGCAGAAAGCCTGCACAGATTATGCTTTCTCGCTGGCATCTCTCGTCCTTTCCCTCATCCATGCTACACGGTTTCACCTGTTCCTCAGGTTTATGCGAAAGGGACCCCCACACAACCCGCGGCGAAAATCACAATGTCACCATTTCTTTCCACAGTCACGGCTTTTCACACCGCCCCCCCCCGGCCCAAGTGCACGTTCGCGCGCGGGGTGCAGGGCTGGACTGAGAGAGATAGAAATAAATAGAGATAGGGATAGATGCACCCACAGACAAACACATGCGGATATCTCTTCATGACAAAATTTGGGCAGCCATGTTTGAATGCCTTGTGAAGCCATCAGGGAGAGCCAGTTGAGTGCCGGACTCAGCTACTTGTTCTGGTTGAGACCTGTCCTTAACTCCAGCAAAAGCTGCCTACATGTGCTTACTCTGCTAGCATTTCATGTTCTGCATGAACAGAACGGCAGCTGTGGGAATTCTGGATCTTGGAGCATCTCAGGTTTGGACGCAGCTTCGCTAAGCGCAGCGGTAAAGGCCAGCGGTCGTAGCTCGGGCCCTGAACCTGCCACTTGCTAAACGGAATGCCATTCGTCAGTTTCACTGATGGACTCATGGGCCGTCATGGACCCTAAACCCGAAACTCTACCCCGTAGAGTTCTTCGGACCCAAGCCATGGCCACCCGAGGCCTACGCTGGCAGCTGGCGCTCCAGGTCCTACGAAGCGGCCAGGCAGGAGCCCCCAGAATTGCAAGGTTCCTCAATTAAGGTACATTGGGGTCTCTGGGTATAGGGCTCCCTCATGGGGCCTGACGCCGCTGCCAGGTTTGCTTTGCTAAGGAACGGTGCAGAATTCCGCAGAGTTTTGCATCGCACAAGGAGCCTCTAAAACTATGCAAGGGTGCAAAGAGGAACCGCCCATGATACCTGACAGCGAATTACAATACAGCCCACCTGAAGCCCTTGGATCGATGGGAAGTTTCTGCAGTCTTGGATCAATCAGCTCACTTACATAAACATGTATGTACGTACGTGCATACGGCTAGACAGATAGCTGTGCGTAACATGCCTTACATGTGCCCTTAGCTTGTTCTCCCCTCGACCCTAAATCCAAAACCCTAAACCTCCTAACCCTAAATCCTAAACCCTAAATCCTAAACCCGGGATGCCTGAGTTGGGTAGTGGCCGGGCTCAGGTGCACATGGACGGGCCGGAACCGGACATGGTCTGAGGCCAAGGAAGTGCTAGTTTCAATACAAGCACTGTTACCATTTTGATTGGTAGGGCAGTGTTAGCCTTCTTCGCGTGATTCTTATTGAGCATGTCTGGGACCATGACACCGCTCCGTCGTGTTCAAGAAGATTACGATTCTTCCGCTTCCCGCCTTTGGGCATTGCATCACTGACCAGCTCAGTTCTCTGGACTCTGGAAACCATCGCACAACGACTGAGGCGTTCTGTGCCGCAATTGGGGCTTGTGGTGGCTGCGGCCAGTGGGAGCTGGCCCTGCACCTGCTGACGGAGCTGGCTGCGAGAGGGTGGGGGAAAGAAGCGTAGGACAGGTTTGGAATGCCAAAGCCAAGCCAAAGCAATTGGGAGCAGGCTGCGTGCCAATGCAGCCTCGTTGGGCGCGGTCCTGGACGGATGCCAAAGAGCTCGCCGGGGGCCCGGCCCTTCTTCGCTTTCGCCTTGTGCCTGGGCCTCGTGAGGTGAATGGCAGAGAGCCCTGGCCCTGGCCTTCCACGGCGGCTTGGTGGGTGGCATGGCCAGGGCCAGAGATGCAGCGGGGATCTTCGCCTGTTCGCCCGTACAGCCGGAAGAGAGCGACAACAAACAAGGCTGCCGAAGCATGGAGCCGGGACAGCCCAAGGGTCAAGAAATAGCAGGTTGTAGTCAACGACAGGATGCCCGCTATCGGCGCACCTCCTTGCAACACCGACCTACTCGGCCCACAACCAACAAAGCATGGATTGAAGGGCAGCCGGTAATGACCCCGAGGCTGCTGCGATGGCCTCGGAGCGAAGTGCAGGTCCACACCCGGCCGCTGCCACCCGGAGGCAGGGAGAGAACAACTTCGCGTACAGGGATGGTAGAGGATCGAGATTCCAAGAGACTGTGAAGCTTGGAGGCTGCTGGCCCAACAGCTTTGGAGCTTCCTGCTCAACGACGCGCTCTGGCCAGCCGGCCTCCCCGGCGGCCCTGCGGCAACGAGCAGTGACCTCTCATGGTCTCCACATGGTCTCCACTGTCTCTGACCCTGAGGGAGAAGCGCCGGAGCTTCGGAGGCCGCAAGATGCCGGGCCGCACCGCAGGACAGGTCGGCTTGCACTGTGGTCCCTTTGGTGCAGGTGTCGCGGGCAATGCTAGCTTCGGAGCGAGTATGCTCTGCCGATGCCTCGGGCAGTCGAGAACAAGCTAACCAGAAGGAATCTCCGCGAAGCTGCTTGTGTTGGTCAGGTGGCAGTCATAGCCAGCAGCGAGGAATTCCAGGTGGGCGTGGGGATTTCACAGCAATGTTGCCACTACTTACCGCCCGCCACTGGTACCGGGGCGATCGCACACTACTTTGACATGTCATCTGCGTGAAGTTATACAGGATACACACCACAAATCATTAAAGTCACTAGACTAGATGATATGAGTCACTAAAGGAGAATCTTGCCACATGTGCATGGTCCTTATCCATGTAAAGGGTAGACTAATGCCATGTTGCGGTTGCGTGGCGCTGCCGTTCCTCACGTGGGAAGAAGAATGGCATTACGGTGCTTGCTCTTTTGCAGTCTCGCTGCATATGTTGGTGAAATGTGCAGCAATGTCTGCCTTTGAGCCAGGCAGGTGCAGCAGCGGTCTTAGCCGCCAAGCAGGCCTACTCGCCGCTTCTTGCAAGGTGCATGGGGTATATGGCACGTCCTCCTGACTCCCGCTGCACTTTTACTCCGTGTTCTTTTTTCTCATGCTCTGCAAGGTTGATGGCATGCCGAAACTTCCCTGCAACAGGCTCTTTGCAGGCACGGTGCGCTTTGCTGGGACCGGCAGGGGAGCCCGCGACCCCTAGCCCTAGCTGTGCCAGGTGGCACACGATGCGTGGCTGCGCCTTGCAGATGGCTTTGGGCCATGGCGGGGCAAGACGGCCCTGACGGAGTTGGGTCTCCGAATTGTCGGCCGAAGTCTCACAGTGAGCACAAAAAGGGAAAGTGCGCTGCTGCACCAGAAGCAAGTAAGCAAGAGGGCCAACACAAAGGACTCAGCTCAGCTTTGATGCACACGCCTGGAGTCATTTAGTTCTGTGATGCAGCGCGCATCCCACGTCGGTAGGCGCCATGCGGCCCGGGTCGGTCTCCTTGCAGCGGCCGTGCTCTGGTTTAGCACATGCTGCATAACCACACCTGATGGCGTGGGCTTCGTCGCAGGGCACCAGCGCAGCATGCAGCCAGCTTCCGGGATCCACCGTCGCGCATCCGGCGCTCAGGAATGGGGCTTTCCGGATTGGTTTCCCTGGGCCACACATTTGAACGGCTGCCTGCGGGACATGTCCGAGGCCTTTGCCAAGTCGTTTCCGTCGATGCAGCGCTCCATGACTATGGAGGAGTTTGCAGAGATGAACGACGAGCTTGCGAACATGCGAGCTCGGCTGAAAGCTGCGCGACAGCGTGAACAAGCAGC